TTCTCTCCAACTTTGTAAATATGGAGATTTGAGGGAATAATAAGAAGAAACTGAAATTAGCTCGATGTGCAAAAACTCAGTTTCCTATCATATGACTCATTGAAAACCAGGACTTTGTTTTATTTTCTGAGTTTCATTATTTGCTGATGAATAAATTATTATTTATGGAAGTTAGGGAGATAAAGTGGTAATTTTCGAAGACATAAATTACCAAATATAAAAACGTCTCCAAGTTTAAGCAGATGTTATATCCATAAATCCTCCCAATGAGTGTAGGAATCAAAGTAGTCCAAGTTCAAGCCATGTGTGCGACATGCCATATGGACTGCAACAAGCAAGTCCAGAAGCGTAAGTTAGGATAACTTAAAAAATAAATAAAAGCTTTAAGTTGGAAATCCTATGACTTTTGTGGTTTTTATCTCCTTTGGGCTTCACGAACATCATTATAACATGTTAATTATCCCAGTGTTTGTGTTTACATTTAAATGGCAAATAGTGGTATTTCTTCCCACTTTTTTATTTCATTTCATTATAATTAACGATCACCCAGAATGTTTACATTGCTATTCTTAATGTTCTGGGAAATTAACATAAAATGCCACCATGACTCAAAAGTTGTCAATAATTATCTTTTCTAGTAGTGTTCTATTTATACATTGTATATGAAAGTTGATTTTCAGAAAGGCTTTTATTTCTGTGAAACAGAAATGCTGAGTCTCTGTAACCAAAACAGATAGGCAGTGCTTTCATGTACATGAATATATTTAAATACAGCCTTAAATAGGTCATTCTCTTCAGATTTTGCATCTTAGTGTTGGACGTTTAGCATGACAGTCAAGTTCTTGGGAGACTTGGGGTTAAAAAATACACATAGCCGTTTACATGAACCTTAAACAAACTTGCAGCAGCATTTTTCTTTCAGCCGACTGACATTTTTCTTTATGTTTCGTCAGTTATATCTGAGTGATCAGACAGCCACTACACGTGGTACACCCACCAGGATTATTATCTAGACCAAAGGCCCAAAGCTCATTGTAGCAAGCATGTAATTCTTTACAATGTATGCCACGTTAACTGTGTTGGGTTATCTATTCAACAGCTGACTGAGCTGGGCTCTCAAGCTCTTCTCAACAACCATGTAAGAAGCGATGACAATTGTACTACTTCATAACAGCTGCATGGAACTCTGACACACACTTCACAGCAACCAGTCATCTATATAAACCAATTTCAGGAGCAAAATTGCATGGTGCCTCCACTCTGTTATAAACACAATGATATCCACTGAAAGCTGATAAATGCACTACATTTCTCTGCAGCTTTAAAGAATAAGTTCCTTGCATCTGAGATTTCCTTCCCACAAATTAAGTCTTTTTTTCTTCTGTCCTAGCCATTAATTTAAAACTTTACAAAGAACAAGACCATTTAGATTTTGAATATCCGTAAAATAAAGAAATTTCAGTATTAACATTTTGGTTCTCCAACTAAATGCACTTTCACTTTTTTTGTGGAATATCTCTGCCAGACTTTCCTAACTGATGATCTGAAACAGAAAGCAAAAGGAAGAGGTAATTAAGGTTTAAAATACTTAACCACTGCCATAGCAATTCACCAATTAACTACAATATCTTTTCATAGGATTATACACAATACAATTCTTATTGTTGAATAAAGCATCTACAAGCAACCTGGAAACTGTTATTAAAACTTAAATGTTAACAACCTTGTGTTTGGTGAATAATAAAGCTTTGGTGAATCCATTAATAATTCCAATAGAGTCAAGTGAGATTAAGAGGTCACTCATATTTTTAAATGCACTCTTGTATTACCAACACACATTTTAAAATTAAGGTTGAAAAGACATGGGTAAAAATTATGTGCAGTTTCAGACAAAAAAGACAGACACTCAATTTTTTCATGTTGATAGCAGTGGCAGATATATATTGTATATATATGTATATGACTATATATGAGTACATATATACATATATTATGAGGATATATATATAAAACGTATATGTATATATACATATATCTTCATATATCTGCCTTTTGCAGATGTTTATTGCTGTGACTCTCTGGCTTCCAGTAATCTCTTAAGTATCCTTGTGTCCCATTGCATTTTGTTTTGCAGTTGCTATTCGTGATTATTTATTTGACTCGGTATTGTTTTTAAAAAATACATTGTGATGATAATATAAAATAGAAAAGATTCAGAGGTATTTATAGTAAAAAGAAATTTCCTCTTCCTATGATCTGCCAGTGCAGTACATGTTGTGGTGTGTCACATTCCACCACCCATCCTCTTCCCCTTGCATGACTGAGACACCCATTTCCACAGCTGCTGAGGGAATTGACAGCTGAAAGTTCTCAGTGGAGTTTGTCTCATGAACTTGCCCTGAGTTGACGAGTTGATGAGAGCCACCTTACTCAAAGTTCCACTTCCCCCTGAGAGCAGCCTGCATTTAATGTGGGGGCTATAAAGACCCAGCTCAGTCCCCTTATATCAAATTAGGACAATCTAAAGGGTAGGCTTTCTCAGTGCCATTGTTTCTTGTGGGATCTGGTGAAACCTGTTATTTTTGTGACTCGTCTATAACTTCTGCCTTTGACCAATTCTATTTTTCTCACTCCCTTATAGATATTGCCCTGAAGAGCACTTCTTTCTTTCCCTGTCTCAGTGTCTGCTTCTAGGACAATGTAATAAAAAACATCTAATACCATACTCACCTTTCAGACACAACCATTACTAGACATTGTTTTGGGAAAAAAAAAAAAAAAAAAAATATATATATATATATATATATATATAAAGATTTGAATTAAAAGGATCTTTCCTCAGCAAATACAAACAATGGTGTATAAATCACAAAAGAAGAAGGTTACTTTATAAATGTGTGACTATAATTTGAGGATAAATTTTTCCAGTAGAATTACTTGGTCAAAGGGTATGTCCACTTTAAATTTTAAATACAGCTCTCTTTAAAGAGATTGTAATTTCCCAGAGCCGACCTTTTGAGTTTGGCCAAGCTCTAGATGAAAAATTGTTCTTATTGTAAGTTTATTTTGGATTTCTCTTGCTGTAATTAATTTTTACACAACTTTTAATATAATCATATTTGTTGCTGTTATTGAGTATAAATTACTTTATTGTGTTGTTGATCTTTTTCTAACTAATATTCTGAATCTTCTTTTTTATATTAAAGAAATTTAAGCTCGTGTGTCATTTAAGTTACAATATTTACCTCTGACTTTATTACATTATCTTATGTCCAACGTTTTCATTGTTTATGCATTTATAGTTACCATTATTTTTCTTTTGTATCTTCTGATTTTTGTTTTATAAATAAAAAAGATTTTGCCACTGTGAAATTATTTTTATTTCTAGTATATCTTCTTTTAGTCCTTTTATAGATTTTTGTTTGATAAACTATGATACAGTTTGAGGTATATCTTGAGATAATGATCTAACTACCACTGAATTTTATTTGCTAGTTTGGGGGGAATTTGTATACAAATACATATAAGAATATTTGATATGATCTTTTGTGTGTTCTTTTTGTCAGTTTTATCAATGTTATGTCATTTATCAGAATATTAATTTATTTCTCTATTTCTCTATATCTGATTCATATGAGTTTTGGCCTTTAAAGGTTTGGTATAATTTCTATGTGAAACTGAACTGGTTGCCCTGCTACTCATTTTAGGATAGCTCTTTGACCACAATCTGTATTTCTGATATTGGTTATTATCTCCCTAAGTTTTTTTTTTCTCTGAGTTCTCATTTGAATATTGCTTATTTACTTCAATTTTCTCTATCATTTTTCCCTGAGTAGCATTTCTTATTTCAAATATGTGTGTCTTTTTTAGTTCATTTTTAATTAGGTTGGTTAAATGTTTATATTTTGTTGGTTCTTATTAAAAGGAAAACTATTAGATTAAATATATGAATTATTTTGCTATATTATAATATTAATCTTTGCTTCTTCTTTACTGATTCCTTTGGTTTTATTCTTCTAGCTTCTTCAATTGAGCCTTACTTTATTTTTTATTCTTACCTGTGTATTAAAAAATTTTAACTTTTTTTTGAGCATTGTTTTAATTGACCACAAGGTTTTGATATGTACGTTTATGTTGTTATTATAGTCTAGATATTTTAAAGCTATTGTTTTGATTAAGTACTGGCCCAAGAGGTATTTCAGAGAGGGTTGTTTTCATTCCAATCGGTATGCTAGGGCTTAATACTGTTGCTGTTTACTAATGAATCTTACCAGGAAGTGGCTGGGTATTGATTGCTTTTCATCTTTTTTGCTTTTAGAATAAGATATGCCATTTGAATTTATATACTCAGGTTTTCTATATTTTCTGGACATTTTTGCAACATATTACTTTTCTGTTTCTGTTTTTTCCTTTTATTTTCACAAACATTAAATATAAGTTAACTACTTTTTCCATTCTCTCTGTATTATTTTCTCTAATCTCGTTTTCTTTCTTGTTTTTTTTTTTTTTTGAGATGGAGTCTTGTTCTGTCGCCCGGGCTGGAGTGCAGTGGCGGGATGTCAGCTCACTGCAAGCTCCACCTCCCGGGTTCACGCCATTCTCTTGCCTCAGCCTCCGGAGTTGCTGGGACTACAGACATCTGCCACCACTCCCGGCTTATTTTTATTTTTAATTTTTTAATTTTTTTGGTTTTTGTATTTTTAGTAGAGACAGGATTTCACCGTGTTAGTCAGGATGGTCTTGATCTCCTGACCTCGTGATCCACCAGCTTCGGCCTCCCAAAGTGCTAGGATTACAGGCGTGAGCCACTGCACCTGACCTCTAATCTTTTAAAATCCTTGTTCATTTGCATTTTATTTCAAATATCTTATCTGTTGTCTACGATATAATTATAGATTTTTAAATTTTGTGTTTGTTTTTCAGAAATGAAAATCTCTTCTGAACTGCTTTCACTATGGACTTCATTACATCATACTTTTTCTCTGCCTTTCTAAGTAATGCCTTTAGTTTAAAATCACACCTTTGGTACCTCCACTTTGGACTTTTATTTTATAAAGTCAGATACTTCATTGTTTTTATGTACTTATTTAACTCACAGCAATATTTGTGGTTGTACTTGTTTGTCTTCTTTGTGGCAATGTTTTCCTAGTACATGTATCTCTTTTACTGTTGTCCCTTAGTCTTGCTCCAATTTTCCCTTGCAATGTGTTTTTATGTTAGGCCAGCTACTTTCTGATTATTATTCTGCAGATTTTGTGTTCATTTCCTTTTCCATAATTCATCTTTTAATAAATTATTCCTCGACAGGCTGTTTGCAAGAGGTTCGTGTAGAGAAGGGGCCAAGGACATGTTCCAGAATAGCAGGAACTTTTCTCAGGACACACACTTTTTACTTTACTTTTTCTCAACTGTATGCAATGTCAGTTTTAACCTTCTTCTCAATGCAGGGTTTCTCTCTCTTCCCCTGCTGCACTCTCATGATGCTTCTGAAAATATCATTCTCTGTGAAATTCATTCCTGATATCCCTGCTTCCGTTTTGTGCTAACGGAAGTGACAGCACACACATCCATTCCATCATTCCAAACTGTAGTTTGGTTTGCCGTTTAGTGTGAACCACTCTTTTAGGATAACTCTGCTCTGCCACTTTGAGATTTGCTTCTGTCAGTGTCTTCACCTATTTCTCACTTTCCTTCATAAATTGTTGTTTGAGGAGATGGTGATCTTCTAGTTTGTTCAGGAAAAATATGTGGTTCTGTTTCTTGTTCTGGTTATTCGGTATTTCTAAGAAGGAGGGTTTTTTTTGTTTTTTGTTTGTTTGTTTGTTTGTTTGTTTGTTTTTTCTATCTTAAGGAAAGAAATTTCTATTTGATTTTGAAATGCCCTGTTGGATTTTGCTCTGATTATTCACATATTTAACTTCATAAGTAGAATTTATTTCTAACATTTCATGTCTTACAATTAATGGATAGTGGTCAATAGATTGTCCTGGAACCCAAAGCTACAGTGGGATCAATATGACTACAGATACTTTACCAGGTAGGCAATTGTTGTCAAGATAAAAGAAATGTTCTTTTCAGCCCTAGAATCTTCACATTGAAATATACAATATTCAGACCTTCTTAAATACTGTAAGATATTCAGTATTATTATCTAAATTAAATCATTTTTAAGAAGATCACTATACTTCATTAGAAATTAAAACTTGAAAAACATGAAGAATGCAAGTTCTGGAATGATAGTTATCAAATATGTCAAAACATAAGCATTTGAAAGTATTCTTTAAGTTTTTCACATCCAGCTTATTTCAAAGTGAATATTTAGGTGCTTAAGGGAAAAGTAACCTGAATTGTTTGTCAGGATGATATACTGAAGAAAATCTGCAAAAGATTTCTATGCCGTGATAAGAAATGGTCAGTGTTCATTTGTTCTGAGTTTGTTTGCAAGTGGAAATAGCTCATCGCTGATGCATAGTTTTTGTTCTCCCCTAATTATTGTTTCTGTGCATGACCTCTGGAATTGATACCTGTATTACAACACAGAATTTTTGAAGAGTGGGGGTAGTGGTTTCATTTTTATTTTGTAATAAACTATGTAATACCTATGTCTTTCATTAACTATTTAACATAGGCAAATGATTTAATCTATTTCATCATCTAGATGATATTTTCTAAGTTTCCTGGAAACCCTAAATTGATATGCCTGTATGATTCTAAGTAAACCCAATTATTTCCACTAAAAGAAGAATATTCCAATTTGGATTATTAGAACCATATGGTTTGAATATTAGAGTTTTGGTCCATATATAACTCAAAATCCATTCCTCTCCTACCAATATGTGCTGATTTACATTTCAAAACAGAGTGATATTTTAAAATCCTAAGATATTGCAAAAATAGGACACAACTGAACCAAACTCTTTCTAAATTGAAAAAAGATAGATAATTCAAAATGAGAAACACTTTGAAGTTTGGATTCAACCAAAGTAATATATTTTTCCTTTCATAGAGTAATACATTATTTCACACCAAAATCATTACCATGTATCAAAATGCTAGGAACTATAATTTTGATGTGCTCTGGGATTCCTATACTGGATAATATTTTACCTGGTTATAGTGTTAATGGGATTTTGTGTCAATATATATTTTAGTGAAGGCATTGTCTTTCTAGTTGGAAAAATGAAGAGTTTGAGATGGCAAGTTTTTTTTTAATAAATAGAAAATCTTTCTATAAAGTTTTGAAGGAAAAGACTCTAAGGACTATACATTTATAATTAATGTCTCGGTATAGTCCCTGGTGCTTTGGCTCTGCAGCTCATATTATTTCTAAGTATCAGCCAGAATAAACACTGGCTTTGTTATAGGGCAGGCTGATATAAAGAGCCATATGTGTTCCAATGACACAGCACAAGGAGACAGACAAAGACCTTGTCTATAAATTCCTTTTTAAAAAAATTTAGATTGCTCCCTGAACCTACTTTTATCCCTTCTAATTTATTTAAATTAGTTCTTCCTGCCGGTCTGTACCTGCCAAATAAAACATCCCAATCAAACGTCTAGTGTGCAAAGCAGAAAGGTTTGATCTGATTCTGAAAGACTTTTGTTCTATCCCATTTCTATAACCATATTACCTAATTAAATTATATAAAACCTTTACTAAGACAAGATAGGTCAAGTACCTGAAAGAAGGAGGAAAAGAAAGTCAGTCAATTATCATAACCAAATTGGCTTTCAGTGTCATCAAACCTCATCAACCTGCGATCTCTGCCACTGATAGGTCCTCCCAGGCCTTTGGCACCTGCTACCATCAGATTATCTGCTGGTTGCTTGAACCTGAACACACTCCTTTCCAAGATCTTGAAGTTCAGTTGTACAGTGAATGTACCGTGCCTTCCAAAGTCTTTCCACTGTAACATATTTAGTTAGTGAACACAAACTCTTAGAGAAAGAAAGTTATAGGAAAATAACGTGCATCTAATATGTGAGTAAATGGTCCTCTAGGCATATCTTGCATAGAAACAATAAAGTTATGATTAATAGGTTATCTAACGCTTTAAAAAAGGCACAAGTCAGCATGGTCCAATACTATCAGATTTGCAAAATGCATTGATTTTGAAAGGGTTGCTATGGTCTGTTCAGCCTTGAACTACTCTGGTTATGAAGCTTATAGCTGGGTGAAAAGTGGACACCTTTTTCTGTGTGCTTAAATATTCTTAAAAAGATGTAATTGTGTATGATCATTTCTAAATATACAGAAAATCTATGTATCCTACACTTTCCAATAACATAACAATTAAAACAGGTACTAACAATATTCCTGAAATACAATGTGAACCCAATCTCTATCTCACCCCACATTGAGTCTATTGTTCTCTAAATGCTTATGAGCTATTACTTCTTAGTATTGAAATGAATAAAGAGAAATCGACAATTTATTCTTACAAGATCTATGAGGAACTGCAGTTGCTAAGATGTTAATGTGTAATGAGGAAATTTTACAGTTGATCTGGTCAACCACAAAAAATATTTATTTAGGAAAGTGATTAAAAGCAAAATTGCCCAGCAATTAATTTATGATTATTCCACAGTTTTGGTTTTCTTTTATGTTTTTTTTAGATGGAGTCTCACTATGTCGCCCAGGCACCCAGGCTGGAGTGCAATGGCACGATCTCGGCTCACTGCAAGCTCTGCCTCCCGGGTTCACGCCATTCTCCTGCCTCAGTCTCCTGAGTAGCTGGGACTACAGGCGCCTGCCACCAAGCCCGGCTAATTTTTTGTATTTTTAGTAGAGATGGGGTTTCACCGTCTTAGCCAGGATAGTCTTGATCTCCTGACCTTGTGATCCGCCCGCCTCTGCCTCCCAAAGTGCTTGGATTACAGGACTGAGCCACCGCGCCTGGTGCATAGTTTTGGTTTTCTATTGCGATGATTTTTTCTGCGTCTACTCTCATATTTAACCACAAGTTTAGCAAAGCTATACTGGGTATTGCGGTTCCAGATATGGCTACAACATTTCAGGACATTTAAAATATTCTTATAAGCAGACAGGGGTGAAGCAAAAAAACATAAAGCTGAGCAGGTGTTTCATTTTCAGACTTAAGAATGCAGAGCCTCTACTGGCATTTTTCTATTTTAATATTATTAGTAGGTTAAAAACTGGGCCCTGATACCCAAAACCCTAGAAAAATTCACTTACTAATGATTAATAAATAAAATTCATACTTTTACTCTAAATAAATCTTTATCAAGATTTACAAAACAGTGGACTTCATTAACCTTTAATTTTTGGTCCATCAAAACACTTTGTGTTTATGACAAATCTTGCTTACTATATCTATAACACATGTTTATTCCATAGTCTTGGGAATAAAGATTATATTATTCATGGAGAAGCACTGGGCTTTCACTGATAATGCATCAGAGAAGATAGTAGCAAAGAAAATATTATGTAACTTTAAAAAGAAATAACACATTATCATAAACAAGGTAACTTTTTTTACGAATATATCCAAGCTTTCCTATGTAACCTAAGGCTTAACTTTAGAAAGATTTTACGGGGTATTTTGGAGAGATATATTCAAAGAAAAATGATTTGTCTCCACAGTGGCTCTACTAGCTTCTCTTACCCAAGCACTGGTAACAGCCTTCTAAAATCCAAGAAATGCACGATCTTGAACTTCTCCTTCCCCAAATTTGCCCTACATGGGTATCATTTTGATTTCTTCTTTCCATCTAGATTTCCAAACTTATATCCTCCTTTCTCTTAATGTAGCATGAAATTTGATGACTCTGTGGCTTTAGTGACACTGTACCCCCTGCTTAGAAACCATTCGTTCTCTAGGCCAATAGGCAAAATCTGTTTTTCTTCAAGGACTCAACTGAGATGTCACCACCTGTAATGAGAATGTCCTCCAATCAGAATAATTCAATATTACTTCATTTAGATTCCAATTATGAGACTTCATCTCACTTTCTCACATTTTATTTTTATTGTGTATATTCTCTCTCCCCTTCTATGAGAGGTGGAATATGTAGTAACTTTAGTCAAGCACACTTGTATATGAATTCCAGCTGCCCCAACTCTTAGTTTTGTGGATTTAGACAAATAAATCAACTTTGCAGAGCCTCAGTTTCTTCATGGTTTAAAATAGGAATAACAATATTGACCCAACATATTTTCAGAGAAATTAGATAAAATCAAATATGGAAAATGTTCAGCATGCTATCTGAGATATTATGCAATTCAGATGATGACTATCGTAAAGTCAGGGTCTATGATTTACTTATCCTTATGTTTCAAAGGCCTGGACTACTATCTTGCATATATGTCTGACTCATTCAACTTCTTAGAAGCCTAAAAACTCTTCCAGAGAATTTAAGAATTCCCACCCATGATCATGAAATACACTATAACCCAGAAAAGAAGAAACATAATGTTAAGCCATTGGATAGATTTTCTGGAGAAACAGAGAAAAGCTCAACTACATACATCTACATCTTCAAATGCCTCACTCTACGACAAGGTTATCTGTGAACAAATTAAGCAGTCAATGGAAATAACACTTAACTACGACAGAAAGAATTATGCCTTAATCTTGGCTTTGTCATTTCAGAACTCTGTGATGTGCTATAATTCCAGACCCTCTGAAAGGACCTGTTGTTTTCATCTGTAAGATGGATATTACTGCATATGCCTTGACAAAGGGTATTGTTAATAGGATTAGATGATAGTCATAAATATATTTGGCAAACTGAAAAAAAAAAAGGCTTTTGAGGAGAAACTCATTCAGTGTTGTATTCAAGTTTTCAATACTTAGTAGCAAGTAATGGAGAAAGTTTCCACAACTGTAAGTATAGAAAATATGTACCTTGCAACGGAGTTTGGAGCATTAATGTCAATATAAAAATACTTCGTGTTTCATAGTAATTGCTCAAATGTCCTAATATGTATCATCATAAGATATTACTTTATTATAAAGAGTATACTAGCAACACCAAAATAAATACAACAACCTTGATATTTTAAGTATGTTTCTC